CCTGGACCTTGGCGTGTGGTCATTCTGGCCTCTCAGCCTGGACCTTGGCGTGTGGTCATTCTGGCCTCTCAGCCTGGACCTTGGCGTGTGGTCATCCTGGTCTCTCACCCTGGACCTTGGCGTGTGGTCATCCTGGTCTCTCACCCTGGACCTTGGCATGTGGTCATCCTGGTCTCTCACCCTGGACCTTGGCGTGTGGTCATGTCCTTCCGCTGGCCTCTCATCTGGACTGACGCGGCCTGTCAGGGAATGCGTCTGAATCCACGCTCAGGAAAACCAGCAGAGCAGGCGCTTGTCCTGCTCGGCAGGCGCTTCCTTCCACAGCATTCTTTTCCAGGATGACCTCCTGTCTTTCCTCTGTGGCCCCTGGGGGCCTGGAGCCAGGCCATGGGCTGGCTTTGAGCATCTAGGCTGAGAGGGGGACACTCCAGCCACAGCTCAGGGGCTCAGAGGGAGCTCAGCGCCCACCCCATCCTGGCCGTCTGTAGCAGCTTGGGTGCTGCTTTCCTTATGGGCTATGCTGGGGGTCAGGACTGGCCAGGGCACACTGCAGCTGCCAGGGCTGTGATTCTGTCCTGGGGACACAGCTGTCCACTCAGGGTGATGTAGGGCACGTCTGCTGGCTCTGTACTCGGTGGGAGCTGGGTTGACACTGGCCCCCTCCTTCCCTGGGGCAGCCCACCGGCTTGGGCCTCAGTTTCCTCCTATGGAATGGGTTCCTGACTGCTGGCTGTACCCTGTGGTCTTGACTCCTCCAGGCTGAGCTGTGCCCTGCAGGACAAAGGCCCCTTCGCGGCTCAGCCAAGGGCAGGGAGCAGGCCTGGGGCTCTGGTCCAGGGAGGGCTGAGTGGGGGCGATGCTGAGGGAAAACAGGGCCCCCCCCGCCCCCGCGAGCTGCTCGGGAACCAGACGTGGTACCACTGCGCTTCCTCTTGGCACAAGCTGACGCGGGCTGGCTTTCTGCCAGTGTGGGCAGAAGTATCCCCTGGAACACAGCAGATGGGCATGGGGGGGCCTGGAGGGGCCCAGCGATGCCCAGCATGGCCCCCCTTTCTCTCTGTGTGGGAGCTTGCCTTGGTAGATGGATGGCTAGGGTAAGAATCTCAGGGCACCAGCCGCCCACATGATTGGTGCTCCCTTCCAGCCCTTCACTTTGGCTTCTCTGGGTGGCCCCCCAACCCCATCCAAGCGGGGGTCCCCCAGCCAAGTGGGGAACCCCAGCCAAGAGGAGGCCCCCCAGCCAAGGGGGGGCCAGCTGGAGCTCCTTAGGCTTTGCCAGCAGCAAGGTGGCTTTTTTGTTGGTTTGCCTTTGGTCCAGCCCCGGGCCTGGACATGGCCTAAGCTTTTGTTCTAGGCTAGTGCTCTATGACTTGGGCCACAGCTCCACACTAGCTTTTTTGGCAGCTAGTTGGAGATAGGATCACAAGGACCTTTTGGCCCAGCTGGCTTCGAACTGTGACCTGCAGATCTCAGCCTCCTGAGAGCAACCTATTTTCTCTGGCCCTGGGAGAGAAGACATGACCCTCGGACCCTGAGGTGGGGTATGTCTGCTCCAGGGAGCTTTGAACACGGGCTTTGACTATAGCTGGGCGGGTGGGTGCTCGAAAGCTGGAGGGCACAGGGCGTCCGGGGATGCCCAAGGGGAAGGGTTGGAGGGCAGCAGCCCCAGGCTGAAGCTGAGCAGGACCCACAAGCGAGCGGCAAACTATTTTTATTGCCACACCAGGGAAAAAGCCCAGCATGGGTCCCAGACCAGGCCAGTGGGAGGAGGTGGCGTGGGTTAGATGTGTCCACCTCTGGTCCAGGGGAAGTGGAGGCCGGAGTCTTTCATCTTGGTCTGGTAGACAGCGTTGAATTTCTCATTCTGCTCTGGAGTGAAGTGCTCCCTCCAGTCCCCCACTACACCTGCAGGGAGGGAGAGGGGTACTCAGGCCTCGGGAGAGGGGCCCTGGCTGCCCCACGGATGCCACTCCCCACCAGGGTCCTGCAAGGAGAGGGCCACGGCCTTCTGTCCCCAGGGTACAGATTGGCTCCAGAAGAAGCCCACGTGCTCACCCTGGCACTGGGAAAGCAGGGCTTTGCAGTGGCACCAGTAAGATGGGGTCACCAGGACACTAGTCCTCACGGGGCGAGTGGGCAGGCAGGACTCAGCCCAGGAGTGGAGCAGGCAGAGAAGAGCCGCCCAGAGCCCCTGGGGGACGGTGCCCTGGCTGCGCCCAGCTGGTGATGTACCCCCGTCCTTGGAATGTTGTGTGGCAGCCAGAGAAATGCTCACACTGCAGCTTCCTACCAGCCTTGGACATGGGGGGACTCCTGCCGGGCTCCTGAACCCAGACCTGTCCTGAGCACTTGACATGCCCAGCTGGAGGCAGGGACACCTGCAATCCCAGCACCGGAGAAGCGTGGGTTTGAAGCCAGCCTGCACTATGCGGCAAGATCTCGTCTCAAAACAAACAACAACCAAGCAAAATAGCCTGACATGCTGCAGGCCTGGACACCTGTGCTGGGAGTTTTCAGGTCCTGGCACGGTGGAAGACAGGGTCACAGTTCCTACCCACAAGGGGAGTCCCTTTTACCCATGGGTTCACTGGGGACAGCAGCAACCGCAGGGCAGGATTTCAGTTCATGCCGATGGAGCCAGAGACTGAACTGAGATGGCCCCAGGCAGTCCGACGTCTTACAGGTGCTCTGGAGTCAAAACTCTGTATAGCTACACCCGCCTGAGCCCACTCCATTGAGGACTCTAGAACTCAGCGGGCATCCGACTTCCCAAGAAAGCAGCTGCTGTGGAGACTGAGACAAAGCTGCGCTTCATTTTGTTCTGAATTTATACAAGAACTAGTCCACGTTTCTCTGTATTGTCTGGGTCTGTGACAACCCTGGGGAAGGCTGCTGGGAGCCATGGAGCTCATCTCTTTATTGTGGTTGCTATGGAAATGGTTGAGTACTTTGTGTGTACACTGTGTGGGTGTGCGTGCACGTGCGCCCGCATGCTACTGGTCCTGGGGCTTGAACTCAGGGCCTGGGCGCTGTCTCTGAGATCTCTTTCTCTGTGTAGTTAGGATTACAGGTGTGAGCCATTGGCACCCAGCATCATGGTGTCTTTTTTGCTGTTGCCCTCCTTACTTTCCTCCTCTATAGACAGTTAGGCTGCTGATTCCCAAGGTGTGCGTGGCAGGGGGGGTCCAGAGCCTACGGGCATCCTTCCGGAAAGTGGGAAGGCCCCGGACAGTTCTCACACTGGGGCTGGATGCCGGCAGCTGCTCCCTGTGACCTGTAGTGATTCACAAAAGCCATCTTCCTGGGAGCAGCAAATGGATTTGGGGTTGCCTCCTAGAAGGGGTGGTGAGGTTGGGTTTGGAGGGCCTGAGTGCCGGTGAGAGGTCTGGGGCGGGTTTAACCTGAGGAAGACGGCCCCTCAGCACAGCCGCCGCCTGGGGGGATGCCCCGATGCTGCCATGCCCTCTGTGGTGCCCTCGCGAGGACACCTGTGCGGTCCGGAGAGATGACAGAGAGGCCGGCGAGGGGGGGCGTGGATGGTAAACTGAGAGCTGTGCTCAACCTGGAGAGCGCAGAGGCCCGCGCCCCGGCGGTGCCCGGAGGGGCGGGGCTCCAGAGACCTAGAGGAAGGTACCTTTCCGCAGAAACTTGCCCCGGCTCTGGTCCATGATCTGCTTGGACACCAGGCTGTAGTTGACCACGCTGCTCTGGCTCATGAAGGAGAAGCTGCAGTGCTCCAGAACCAGCTCCTCCTCTGCCGGGCCCAGCGGCTGCTGCAGGAAGGCACTTAGCTTCCGGATGGTGCTGCGAGGCTCCTGGAGCCGAGAGGAAAAATAAAGAGTGCAAGATGTGCCCCAAGCGACGTGAGCCCCACTCTGGAAGAGCAGAGGAGACCAAATACTCAAGAGGATGGGTGGATGGCGGGCAGATGGGTGAATGGATGGATGGACAGACAGACGGGTGAGAGTGGACGGCAGGACACGGTAAGTCAGCGGAAAGGTACACAGGTAGATGACTAGCTATCTCAGGAGCTACGGCGGCACCGGGCCCCCGATAGCTGACGGGACGGCAGAGGTCACAGCGCAGTCAACAAGGGAGCCCAGGAACCCCAAGAACGACTCTCCTTGGTGCTCAGAGCTGTGGTCCATTCTGGGTGGGCTCCCCCTGGCTCCCCAGGCAGACCCTGGCGCTGTCTCTACACAGAAAGAGACCCCAAAGCCACCTGGCTGGTCGCCTCTTGGTTTTCACTCAATCACGCGTATCTTGCGAGGAGCTCCACACACCAGGCAGTACTTAGGAGCAGGGACACCCGTGACGGTCCCAGGGACCCGGGGAAACCACACTGGGTGTCCCATGTGAGGCTCTGGGCGTCTGCTGGGGCCGGCACCAGCCTTCACCCCAAAGGGCTGCCAGCGAAGTCTGCGGCGTGGCGCAAGCAGCAGAAAGTGCGAGTACCACTGTGGATTTCAGCTTGTTATTCTGAGCTGAAATCTTGCTGTTTACACATGATATTGGAACAGTGCAGAGAACTCAAGGTTCTGAGCAATACGCGTACAATGTGGTGGCTGTGCCAGTGTGGGCTGCGTAACTGGAAGGCCTGTCTGTCCCCAGACAGAGGGACACTGGCAGGAGGAACAAATAGATTGAAGTTATTAAGGCAATAAAAATGTTTATAGGAGCTTATTTAAGTTAGTAAATGGAACCAACTGTGAATCAAACCTCTGTGCGTGTGTTCATACACATTTTAAAGTGCACACGTTAAAAAAAGGTAAAATGAGCCAGGCGCTGGTGGCTCACGCCTGTCATCCTAGCTACTCAGGAGGCTGAGATCTGAGGACCACAGTTCAAAGCCAGCCCAGGCAGGAAAGTCCGTGAGACCCTTATCTCCAATAAACCACTAGAAAATCGGAAGTGGTGCTGTGGCTCAAGCGGTAGAGCGTTCACCTTGAGCTGAAGAGCACAGGGACAGCGCTCAGGCCCAGAGTTCAAGCCCCACAACTGACCCCCCCCCCAAAAAAAGGTAAAATGCACACAAAAGCCATGCTCAAAACTATGGACAAATCTCATAATGGATTAGTTTTGGAGAGTTGCAGACAGGAGACTGTGTCTGAAGCCACAGAAGCCACAGTTCCAAAGAACCCGGTGGGCAGCCTTGTCCCGGGAACTGGAGCTTCCCAGGATTCTTCAGGGGAGCTGGGGACCCCAGGTTTTGCCTGGAGGGAGCACAGGTGGCTCTGAGGGCTTCCTGGAAGAGGTGCTCACCTGGTACAGCTCCTCGTAGGTGATGAGAAGCATGTTCAGGTCCCGCTGGAGACCCAGCCAGCCTTTCACATGGTCAAACCAGGAGCCAAAGAAGCCTGCCAAGGAGACGGGGAAGGTGTGGCCAGGCCCCAGCGGCAGGGCCCAGGAGACGGGGAGGCGTGGCCAGGCCCCAGCGGCAGGGCCCACAAGCCTCAGGGAGCCTCAGGGCCTTAACCAGTCAGGTGACGAGGGGGTGGGGTCAGACTCCTCAGTCCCTGAACCCTCACCTGTGCCCTTGAGAAACTCATCCAGGAACTCCTCGAAGGAGCTGGGGTCTGGCAGGAAGTTGGCGACTCGGTGGAAGTGGTAGAAGGAGACGAGCACGTCCTTGGGGTTCCGAGCCACGTACACCACCTGGCGGCAGGACGGCAGCCTGAGTCCTGCGGCGGGCCCCAGGGCCCTGCGGGAGTCGCCAGGCCTGGGCCAGGCCTGGCTGCCAACCCTGCCAAGGCTGGGGACCAGGCAGGCTGGGCCCTACGCTGCATTGGGCACATTTCGCTAGAGGCAAGAATGCAGCCTTTGCTCTAAGCTGCTGGCTTCTGGCAGCGGCAGCAGGCCAGGCTGAGCTCCACAAAGCAACCCTGTAATTAGTGCTCTTGTTTCTGCAGGTTGTGACCAGCTGAGAGTGATCACAGCGCAAGGGGGCCTGTCAGGATCCATGCAACCCATGGTGAGGCTGGGAGGGCAGGCCTCTCGGGGGGCTAGTGCAGTTTCTTCACCTCCCCGAGGCCAGAGGGTGAGTCCAGCCTTTGCCCCCCCCCCAGCCATGACTGACCCCTGATTCACCCGGTCAGCTCGTCCAGCTTGCCTCACAGCCTCCCTGTGCCGCACCCCGGCGTGGCAGAAAACAAAAAACAAAGGGAGCAGGGCACCAGCGGCTCACGCCTGTCATCCCAGATACTCAGAAGGCTGAGATCTGAGGCTCCAGGTTCAAACCCCGCCTGGGCAGAAAAGTCCTTGAGACGCTTATCTCCAATGAGCCACCAAAAAGTGGGTGGTGGAGCCGTGGCTCAAGTGGTAGAGCGCTCACCCTAAGCAGAAGAACTCAGGGGCAGTGCCCAGGCCCTGAGTTCAAGCCCAGAACCTGCACACAAAAGAAAAAGGTTCCTCCCTCCTAGACCTGCCTGGGCCGGCGTAGGCTGCTGCTGGCTGGAATTTCTGCCCATCTGTGTTCTGGGTCCCCCCCAGGGCAGTGGGGTGAAGTGAACCCAACCCCAAGGACCTTCTTACCCTAGAGAGCCTATCCCCAGGCCTCGGCTTTGACTATGGGGTTCGGGGGGGGGCAGTACCTTACCCGGGCCTTGGACCTCATCAGAGCTGGGGCCAGGGCTGTGGCGTGGAGGTGGGTGGTGAGCAGGCGGGGTCGGGTGGGCTCCAGCTGGCTGAGGAGATGGCTGAAGGAGACTTGCTCCATCCAGGGCGCGCGGCTCCAGTTGGGAAGGTGGAGGATGGGCCACAGGTGGCCCTCACAGAAGATCAGACTCAGCACCTGCTGCACCCATGTAGTCCCTGCACAGTGAGAGCGCGTGAGCTGGCAGAGGGGGCGACCCGGGCCCTGGGAGCATCTCCACCAGTGTCACGCATGACTGCTTCCACACACAGCACCGGCCCAGGCCGGCCTCACACCTGGCCGCACCGTAACCGTGAGGTTCCGGCAATATTTTCCTCTTTCCTGCCTGACACCGTATCAGAATGGCCTTCTTGCCTGGCACTGGCACTCATGCTGGTTATCCTAGCTACTCAGGAGGCTGAGATCTGAGGATCACAGTTCAAAGCCAGCCTGGCAGGAAAGGCCGTGAGACACTTATTTCCAGTTATCCACAGTAAACTGGAAGTGGGACTGTGGCTCAAAGTGGAAGAGCGCTCGCCTTGAGCAAAAGAGCTCAGGGACAGCACCCCAGCCCAGAGCTCAAGCCCCACAATGGACAGAAACAAACAACAAAACAGAATAGCCTCCTTTACCATCTATGCCCTCCCAACAGCTGTGTGGGTGCACCTGGCATTTTCTAAGGAGATCGGGGCTCTCTCCCTGCTCTGCGTGGCTGGGTAAGTGCTGTACAGAGCCCTGTCCCTAAGGAGATCGGGGCTCTCCCTGCTCTGCGTGGCTGGGTAAGTGCTGTACAGAGCCCTGTCCCCGTCCCTCCTCTTTCCTTTGGCGGTAGGACCACCTGCTCACACCAACTCGGGCTGCTGCTGCTCACAGTGCCCCGGACACCTCACCACCCCTGCCAGCTCCAAGACTGCGTCCACATTCTAGACATTTGCTATAGCAGCAGCTCCATTTCTCAGCACCAATGTCCGTTTTATAACCCCAGCAGATTGTTTAAACTGTTTTGGGCTGGGGACTTAGGGCACTTGTCCTACCATTGTGCAGCCCTAGGTTGATCCCCAGTACTGAAGAAAGAAAAGGAGAAAGAGGAAGAAGAGGAGGAGGGAAGGGAGGGAGGGAGGGAGGGAGGGAAAGACATGCATAATAGTAAGAACCCAGTCTCAAGGCTGACAGAGACGGGACGGTGGGAGGGAGCATGGGCCCACAGGAGAACAGAGCCCCACCTGTGAGGACAGGGGCAGATGGAGAGGACGCTTTGTCTTCAGACAGGATGATTTGGAAAAAGAATAATTGGTTCCCACATTAATTTGTAAATCAAATGCAATCCTAATAAAAATGCCAAGTCTCTTTTTGGAATTAGACAAGTTGATATTGAAGTTACACAAAAACAGGGCTGGGAAGGTGGCTCAGTGGTAGAGTGCTTGCATGCCTGAGGCCCTGGGTTCAATTCCTCAGCACCACATAAGCAGAAAAAGCTGGAAGTGGCGCTGTGACTCACGTGGTAGAGCAGGAGCTTTGAGCTTTGAGCTGAGGGACAGCGCCCAGGCCCAGAGTTCAAGCCCCATGACTGACAAAAAACACAGACAAAACCACACAGCGGCCAGGCCTCTGGGGCCTTGGGACAGAGCAGAGAGCTGGTGTGGGGAGCATGTGGCCTTGCACAGGAAGTCGGCCACAGACAAGGTGGTGTGGCGGTGGTCTGGCTTCCAGCTTCTCTGGGCAACAGAGCAGCCATTTGGAAAAGGTGATATTACCTCACACTACACAGGTCAGGAATTCTGAAAGTGACCATTGCAGCCATGCAGGAATAAAAAATGGGCAAATTCCTTTAACTACAAGTCAAATTATTCTTGACCCTCCTCAGAGCAACGCAGATGTTGGAGGCTGGTACCCAGGGCAGTGGTGCCAAGAGGGTGGGGCTTCTCGAGGTGGGCCTAGAGCTGGTGGCACAGCTCAGGCTGCAGAGCACTTGAGGCCCTGAGTTCGATGTCAGTGTGGAGGGAGCGAGAAAAGCAGTGGGACTAGATGAAGGGCTTTAGGCCAGTGGGGAAATGTCCACCCAGGAGCAGTGGGGCCCCAGTGTCTTCCTCCTCTCTCTTTATTTATACTTACTATCTTTTAATGGTTGTTGTACAAAGGCCTTTCAGTTCAACGTGGTCTTTCCTATTTTGCTTTTGTGGTGGTGCTGGAGACGGAACGCAGGGCCTTGTACAAGTTAGCTGAGTGCTCTACCACAAAGCCATGCCCTTCCCTTCCTCCTCCTCGCTTCCAGGATCAAACAATTCACAGGTAGATTGAACCCTGGAAATCTCACCCAGCTCATCCTGAGGTGAGCAGTGCTGCTTTGCCAAACCCTCCAGACATAATGTGCCCCCACAGCCCAGAGTGAAGCTGGTGGGTTAGGGATGGGAGCCCACCAAATCAACCTTTTCCTCCTTAAAAGCAGATTGGTCAGGTATTTTCTGAGTGACAGAAAGCTGGCATGCTCACGGGCCAAAAGCCGGTCAGTGTGGGGAGACTGTGAGTAGACACTGGACAAGGAAAAAGTTTCCAAATGTCCCCCAAGTTTTCATTAGGAAGAGGAGGGTGGCGGCCGCACAGCGGAGATGCCTGGGGTTAGCAGCCTCGGAGGTGACGGGAACACCGCTGCACCCTCCCCAGGGACAAGCGGCTGCCCACATGTCAGGCCCCTCGCTCCTTGCGGACGGACATCTTCCTGCAGCTCTGCACACAGCGGCCGTGGAACCCGAGCCCTGGCAGAGCTCGGCTCCCAGAGGAACCGTTCACTGCATCTCCGGCTTCTGGGCCAGACTCTGGGTAGCCTCTCTACCCCTCCCACTCTGGCCTCCTCCTCCTCCCGAAGATCACAGGGCTACCTGATAATCCAGGATGATCTTCATCTCAAGCCTCAAAGTGCCTGTGCCCTGTGAGCTCACAAGCCATGTGCTCAGACCGCACGCACCCTGCAGCCATTACACAGCCAAGCACAAGCAGGGATGAGAGAGAGGTTGGGGTGACCTGGGTTTGCAAAGACAGAGACAGATGCAGCAACAAGAGCCAAGAGACGTTCCCAGCAGAGAAGGGCTCCCCGGAGGCAGCAGGGAGCAGATGGCCGGAACGTTCTGTCCTGATAGTGAGGAGGTGCTCCAGAAGCCCCCCTCTCTTCTCTGCACTGCTGGGGAGGGAACCCAGGCCAGGTGAGCACTGCACGGAGCCAGGCATGCCTGCGCGTCTTCAGGGATGAAGGGCCTCTGGCCGCGGCCGCGGGCAGCCCTGAGCATGGCAGCTGCTGCCCCGTCTCCTCTAGTGGGGTCAGAGGTCATAAACCCGTGTCGGCGGGGGAAGGGAGAACCCAGGACCCCGTGCTCGGTGTGTTCAGCTTCCTGGAGGCCACGGGCAGGGAAACCCCACTTCCCGTCAAATCTGACGGGAGCCGCCAGGGACCCACTGTCTCCCACCCATCCCTGTCCTCCCTGCCCTGTTCCCTCTGGTCCAGCTCCCTGCGGGCAGCCAGTGCCCACCCCAGGACTGGTGTGTTACCAGGCCCAGCCCGGCGAGCCCCTCTCGAGGGGCTGCTCTGGCAGGCTCGGTGCACACAGCCCCCAGGGGGCTCCCTTTAAACGCCAGGTGCCCACCTCTTTCTCCAGCAGGAAGTGGGAGGGGTGGGGAAGCCTGGAGGGAGGGGCCAGGCCCAGGGGGGGGGTGAGAGGAGGCCTGGCCAGCGGGAGGGGAAGGGCGGGCACTGGGACTGGTGGAGGTGGAAGAGGGCTCTCCTGCCCCCAGGGGGCCAGTGCTCTGGCCTGCTCCTGACCCCGCCCTGCTGGGGTGGGGGGTGCTGGGGCCTCCACCTTTCCCCTGGGGTCCCAGCTCACTCTGTGGGGACCCCACCCTGGGCTCCTGTCCTTTCTGGGATCTGGAGGGACTGGCTTGACCACACAGGGTCCTCGGGCCATCCTGTGGGCTGAGGCCTGGCCCTCTGGGTGTGGCTCGGGGGAGGCCCAGGCCTCAGGTGTGGCTGACTGGATCTGAGGACCCCTGCAATCCCAGCACCCCGCTCACACGGTCCAGAGAGGCCACCAGAGCCCGTGGGGGCCAGCTGAGGGGAGGGGATGGCCATGGAGCGGGCCGGGGGGGCCGCCTGGCCAGGAACGTGGCCTTGGGCTTGTCCCAGTTCCCAGGAGGGACAAGGGAGTGGGCAGAGGAGCGCAGCGCAGCGTGCGGCTGTCTACAGGGGCCTCGGCTTCTCACCGGACTTGGGGAAGGTCACCAGGAGGACGTCCGTGTCCTGGAACTGGAAGGAGCAGGCTGTCCGCAGGGACTCGGGCGTGTGCATGAAGCCTGGCAAGCGGACGCCGTTGAAGACCTCCACGGTGTCCATGCGCTCATCCATGCCGGTGCCGGGGCATCCTGCGGGCAAGCGGCCCCTGAGCCACAGGGCCAGGCTGGCCTGGCGGGGGTGGACCCCCCACCGCTCCCAGCACTGATGTCCTTGTGCGTCTATACCACGCTTGTCTTCTGTGCCCCGGGCCCATCCTAACAACGGGGTAGGTTTCCTATCAGCTGCCCTGGCAAAGGCCCACAGCCAGCCGGACGCCGGTGGCTCACACCTGTCATCCTAGCTACCTGGGAGGCTGAGATCTGAGGATTGTGGTTTGAAGCCAGCCTGGACAGCAAAGTCCATGAGACTCTTATCTCCAATTAATCACAGAAAAAGCCCAAGTGGAGCTGTAGCTCAAGTGGTAGAGCACTAGCCTTGAGCAAAAAGAAGCTCAGGGACAGCCCAGGCCCAGAGTTCAAGGCCCAGGACCAGCCCCCCCAAACCCCAAAAGCCCACAGTTGTTCAGGTTTGGGTGCTAGCGCTGACATCCTGGGAGGCAGCCTCTGCCCTGTTTCCAAGGCCAGGAACCCGGCTCATCCACAGACTTGTCACCTGCTCTCTGCCGTTTGCAAGGCCACAGCCATCTCCGGCGAGCGCAGAGATGGTGAGCCATCTCCGTACATCCCACTGGGCCCCGGAGCCCCACAGCAGAGGCGGGAGAGCGGCAGGCTTGCTAACTGCCTGGAGACCCCTCTGGCTGAGCAGAAACCTTTGCCACAACCCCTTGTGCCTCCCTGCGGGGAGGCTGGCAGGAACTCCTGGGCTGGCAGGAGTGCCGGCAGAGCTGTGGCCCGGCTCTGGAGCAGGCCCTGGCATCTGTCCCACCCCGTGTCCCTTTCTGATCAACTCTCAACTCACCACAAGGTCCTTCTCCGGGAGCCCCGCTGCCCACACCCAGCCCAAAAACGTGGCTCACCCTCCACTTGGGCGGTTCCAAGTGGGGGCGGGCCGGAGGCCTGCAGTGGGGGCGGGGTGGGAGGGCCCCTCCCTGTGCCCCGCCCCCACCGACGGGAAGCCCTGGGATGGAGGGCATCTTTGAGCCAGCCCAGTGGAGGCTGCTGGATTTCCAAAAGCTCAGAATGGGTTTCTGTTACTTTTTATGCTGCTTGCTCAGGGCAGAGGGAGGAGGCGGCAGCCAAGGCTGAGGCCGCGAGGAGGAGTTCTGGACCCTTCCAGTGTTGCTCTCAGCACCCAGGCCGTCATCTTTGTCACCTAGAGCCACGGTTTTCCCATGATTTTAAAAGGCTTTCTGTATCAGTCGTGAGCACACAGTAGAAAGGGATTTGGACACGGAATGAAGCCGGCTCAGAAGACTTCCCTCTCCTTCCCGCTGGCAACCCGCAACAGAGCAGTGGTTTTGATGACAAACACAAAAGTATCTTATTTCCGGCCATGCTATGCGCAAAGGACAATGTCCTGAGGAGTTTTGCAAAACAGAGTATTTTTAAAGTAGCTTGTAATCCTCGTTGAACAGGAGGCTAAGATCTGAGAGCTGCAGTTCAAAGCCAGCCCCAGTGGAAAGGTCTGAGAGGCCTTATTTCCAGTTAATCAACAGAAGCTAGGTAGAGGTGTGGCTTCGGGGGCCAGCTGTGAGTGGAAAAAGTAAATGAGAGTGTGTGACCTTGAGTTCAAGCCCAGCACCAAAGAATCCAAAACAACAACAAAACTGGCAAGTAGTAGGGCCAGTGTAAGACCCTGTGTTCCAGCTCTAGTCCCGATGAAAGCAATCACAATACTTGGCTTTTCCCACTCCTGCTGTCATGCAGGGAGTTGCTCATTATTTTCACTTCATCTATATTCCATTTCAAAATCTTCTATTGTTAAGCGGGAGGCCAATGGCTCATGTCTATGATCCTACTTTCTCAGGTGGCTGAGGTCCAGTGTTTAAAGCCAGCTCCGGCAGGAAAGTACATGAGATGCTTACCTCCAACGAATCACCAAAAGGCTGGAAGTAAAGCTGTGGCTCAAGTGGTTGAGTGCCAGCTTTGAGCAAAAAACGTCTAAGGGACAGCGCCCAGGCCCTGAGTTCAAGCCCCAGTACTAGCATGTGCACACATGTGTACATCACACACACACTCTTATTGTCACTTGGTTAATAAATTACTAAATATATTTTCTTATTTATTTTGTTTTCCATACTGAAGATAAAACACAAGTCCTTCTGTGTGCTAGGGAAATGATGGCTCTCTAAGCTACATGCCTCAGCCCCCTAAATTTTACTTCATGCCCCCTCTGATCCTACTGAAATGTTCAGAGCTCTAGAGGTCATGTTTCTGGTTCTGGGGCTTGAGCCAGAACCTCTGGCTCTGGCTGTTCTCTGCCACTTGAGCTGGCTCTCTAGACCTTTTGCCTTCATGCAGTTATGTATTTATTTACTTTGAGATAAGGCCTGATAACTTCGATGGAGCTGGCTTAGAACTCCCAATCCCCTGTGTCAGCCTCCTGAAGAGCTGGAATTTAAGACATATACCACTACACCCAGCTCTGACCTCTTTAAAATTCACAAAATTTGGTTCTAAATTCTTACTCTCCTCCTCGTCCGCCTTCTCCTTCTTTCCTCCTTCCCCTCCTTCTTAAGTTTTAGCAAAGATTTTAGTATAGCAGGATGAAGTAGGAAGAAATGGGGGAGGGGAGGACTCCCTAAGGTCTCCTGGACCTAGCTGTGGAGGTGACCCCATGCCAACAGGGAGAACCAAGGTCCAGGGAAATGAGCGAGCGACGGCTGGGAAAACAGGCCAGGTGGGACGTGGGTGTGAAAACTGGGGGCTTCTGCTGTTCCATTGCACACAAAACTTAAGCCATGGGGCTGGGAAGGTGGCTCAGTGGTAGAGCGCTTGCCTTGCATGCCTGAGGCCCTGGGTTCGATTCCTCAGCACCACATAAGCAAAAAGAAAAAAGC